ATGCGGCACGACATGACGCTATTGCGCTACCCGTACACGCCGAACTTGAAGTAGTCACTACTGGAAACACGTGCTTTGCCGAGGGTCTGAGGATTTGCCGAGGGCCAAATCTCGGGCACTCGGCAAAGACACTCTTTGCCGAGGGCCAGACACAAGAGCCCTCGGCAAAGAACGGCCCTCGGCAAAGAGGCCTTTGCCGAGGGTACGGCCCTCGGCAAAGACAGGCCCTCGGCAAATCAAATCTTTGCCGAGGGCCGAGGCCCTCGGCAAAGATGTCCTCGGCAAATTAGGCCCGTTGGGTCACGGCGGCCATTTCCCGTCAAGCTTTGCCGAGGGCCACCCATTAGGCCCTCGGCAAAGGTTTTTTTTCCTGTGCAACCAGGTTATTCGGCAAATTTTTTTTTAAGTCTTTGCCGAGGGCTCTAGACCAGGCCCTCGGCAAAGATTTTTTTAAAACCAGTTTTTCGGCCAAATTTTTTTTATAAATCACCTTTGCCGAGGGCCCGAGGCTAGGCCCTCGGCAAAGAAGCCCTTTGCCGAGGGCCAGGATAGGCCCTCGACAAAGATTTTTTATTTTTTTTAAAAAATTCTTTGCCGAGGGCTCAGATCCACAGCCCTCGGCAAAGATTTTTTATTTTTTTTTAAATTCTTTGCCGAGGGCCCAGATCCACGGCCCTCGGCAAAGATTTTTTATTTTTTTTAAAAAAAATTCTTTGCCGAGGGCCATGGGGCAGGCCCTCGGCAATTTTTTTTTGGTTTTTTTAGCCCAGTTTTTTTGTGGTGCTACAATACATTGTTTTGAACTCAATTTTAAAATTTAGGCCAATTTTGATTTTGTTTTGTATATTTCCTTAATTTATTTCGATTCTTTGATTTTTTTCGAATATGTCAAATTTGAACTGCAGGTGCATGGAATATTGCAATGTAGTGTTTCAAAAAATGTTATTCATGTTAATTGGTGCATGTTGAGTCCCTATCCACGACCCCGCATCAAATTTTCACGCATCTTGTTCGCGTAACATGACGACCGACTTGCTGGAAAAGTGTTTTAAAATTATATAAAATCCATACGAAGTCCGAAAATCACGAAACTTGGCGAGATGTCATGTTATCACATGTGTAGGCTGTGGTAAAAAATTGAGAAGGCTTCGAGCGAGTTGCGACGTCGGATGCCTGAAACCCAGACATCTCCACATTCTTTGTGATTGCAGGTGATTGGACAAAGATGGCGAGCAGACGTCCACGCCGTGACACGCCCTCGGTTTACGGGAGAGACCGCCCTCTCCTTCGAGGTGAGGGGTCATCGTCCGGGGTAGCGTCCGCAGGAGGTGACGAGAGGAGGACCAGGGGCAGCCACCGCAGGAGGCAGCGGTCTCCTCCCTCGACACGTGACGAGGTGCTGGAGGAGGAGCACGTGACGGCCACGGCCTCGTCCTCGTCGGAGGACGAGAGGGGTCAGCAGACGGGCGAGGGAGACGAGGCGCTTGAGGGCGAGGGAGGCGAGGCGCTCGAGGGCGAGGGAGAGGGTACCGCTACCCGGACTCTCTACGAGCGAGGTCCCGCGAGCCTCCCTCCGGTTCCGCTTCCTCACAACCGCTCAGTGATTCGGCCTATGGCAAAGAGGTAAGTAACTATGGATGTTATCACAACTACTTCATAAGATATGTTGGAAATCTTAAGAGAAACTGATAAATTTTCTTAATCACTTGTGCAGGGCCTGGTTGGTTTTGTCGGGTACTCCAGCACGCACCCCCGCGAGCATCCTTGGTGTTTTGTGCAGAAAATGGTACCCCGGCATTGTGCAACTATCCGAAGAGCCGGTGGTGCGGGAGCCGGCCTCCAACTGGGACAGGTACGCGCTGGTCACGGATGACACTTACCGCAACAAGCAGGAGCGGGTATTGGCGGAGTTTTGGGTAAGTCTCTCTCGCACAACATTGCTTAATACATCGCATTCATTGGTTAAATCTTTTATCGAAATAATGAACGGATACATCGGTTTTGTATGCAGAAATATTTCAAGGTCGAAGAAGGACTTGAGGCCTAGGAGGATCGGACGGCTGCCGCAGCTTGTAGGAAGTACGTCACCGAGATGCATCACCATGGGCGCGTCCAGGCCCACATAGACTACTACAGGTCGGTACTTAGGCAGTCCCTCCCCAAGCCTCAAGCAAGACGGATTATGCTGACCCAGGACCAGTATCTTGAGGTAGGCGAATAACATTCATAATGATTCGTTTTGATATTAAGTAGGTTCAATTTCATCTTCTTATATGTCAAATACTCGATGACTTGTAGGTGATTCCCTGGTGGTGCCGATCGTATCCCGAGTGCTGGGCCATGATCGTGGACAAGTGGTTATCACAGGACTTTGTTGACACGCACGAGAGGCAGCGGAAACAGCGTCTGATGAGGCAAGGTCCAACTCACCATCAAGGCAGCCGTAGCCTCCCCGGATACAAACAAGCATACGTAAGTGATTTCTTTCATTTATTTTGACGCTCAATTCTGCTTGATTTCTCACCATCTTCCCGTCTTTCTCGCAGGAGGCTGCGCACCCGGGCGAGGAGGTCTCGGAGTTCTCTGCGTGGGCTATGTCCCACATGGACAGGGCATCGTCCTCTGTCTCCTTCGACCCGGCTGCCCTGCCCCAGGTGTACTCCGACCCGAACGTGTACACTAAAGTCCAAGAGTACACGTCAACGGTAAGGCATATCTATGGGGAAGATTACAATATGCGCACTGAGCCCATTGATGCAGAGGCGATCATGAGCCTCGGAGGAGGCAAGAAGCACGGGCGGCTGTGGATTGCAGACGGCGCCATCGACTCCACCACTGTTCCCTCCCTCGACACTATCCAAGCACGGAGCACGAGCTCCAGCCAGCCCATACGTCCACGGCTTTCTCCAGCACTGCAGCAGGTCCAAGCACTCCAGGTAATTCCTGTTTTACTCATCGTACGTAGATATTTGCACATCTAAATTAGATTTGCATTACTGATACATTGGAGTGAAATATTACAGGCCGAGCTGCAAGAAACAAAAAGGCAAAGTCAAGAGCAGAACGCAGAGCTGACCGCACAGCTGCAGGCCCAGAAGGTCACGTTCGAGGCCGCGCAGAAGCAGATGGCGGAGATGATGGTGATCATGCAAAGTCTTGGGCAAGCATCGGGTGTACCTGTGCAGTTTTCAGCTCCTCCACCTCCTACTCCTGCAGCTACTCCTGTAAGTATGAAAATTCACTTTTCACTTGTGCTTTGCATGTATGTCGGCCTTCGTGCCATTGTGGATGTCGGCGTTCGTGCTGTTGTGGATTTCGGCGTTCGTGCCGTCGTTTCTTGCAGGTTTTGGAAACCTCCCCGTGTAGGGGAGGTGCTGCCGAAATTTTCAATTGAGTCTAATCTTTTTGTATTGCTACAATACTAGATGCAATCTCTAAGTTCCAAAACTTTTTTCCCGGATTACTCACACATGCAATCTCTGCTCCTTTGTGCAGCTTCCGTCCGCGGGTTCCAATCAACCCGCTAGTGCGTCACCGGGTGATCCTGCTTTTCCTTCACCATCGCCTCATAGGCTAGCTTGATGAGGACTCGTGCTAGGTGATGTGGTTGGACTTTAGCGTGATTTGTGATTTATGGTTATGACTTGTGCTTGGATTTCATTAACTTGTCGTAAAAAACATGTGACTTGTCGTTGTAATATATTGTGATTTGTGGTTCACAATTATGGTTATGATATATTGTGAGAAAATGGGTTCTGTGTGATATATATATATATATGTATATATATGAAATGCTTGTGACGATGGAATGCAAAAAACAAAAAAAAATTAAATTTCTGCCTCTTTGCCGAGGGCAATGACCAAGGCCCTCGGCAAACAAGGATCCTTTGCCGAGGGCCCAAGCAATAGCCCTCGGCAAAGATTTTTTTGGAAAAAAATCCTGACAATTTCTTTGCGGAGGGCCAAGGAGCAGGCCCTCGGCAAAGGGTTAAAAAAATTCAAAAAAAATCATTTCTTTGCCTAGGGCCGGCCCTCGGGAAAGGATTTTTAAAAAATCCTGAAAATTTCTTTGCCGAGGGCAAGAGAGGAGGCCCTCGGCAAAGGTTTTAAAAAAAATAAAAAAAATTATTTGCCGACTTTGCCGAGGGCCGGCCCTCGGCAAAGAATTTTTAAAAAATCCTGAAAATTTCTTTGCCGAGGGCCAGGGAGAAGGCCCTCGGCAAAGGTTTTTTAAAAAAAATAAAAAATTATTTGCCGAGGGTCGGCCCTCGGCAAACAAATTCAAAAAAAAACCATTTCTTTGCCGAGGGTGGGCCCTTGGCAAAGAAACCGCCAATGGCGCCGGCGCCTGACGGCCTCTTTTCTTTGCCGAGGGCCGTCCTGGCCGTCGGCAAAGGCTTTGCCGAGTGCGCGATAAAGGGCCCTCGGCAAATACCCCTTCGCCGTCTAAAAATTCGCCGATGGGTCTTTGCCGAAGGCAGCCCTCGGCAAACCCTTTGCCGAGGGTTTCTGGGCCTTTGCCGAGGGCTAGACACCCTCGGTAAAGCATGCGCCTCCAGTAGTGAGTGCGAGTCCCCACCGCGGCCGGGCACCGTCAACCGGTGCTCGCCGTCCACGAACACCGTCACGTTGGACGCCCGCGACGTCGTGGATAACGTTGAGCTTGAACCACCTATCGTAGATGCCGGCGTCGACGACCCTCGAATCATCATGGTAGTAGGTGAGCCGGCCGTTGTAGACATGCAGCATCAGCGTCGTCGCGTGCTCCGCCGCGCCAAAGATTTGCATCACCGACGCGCCAGTTGTACCGTGCGGGATGTAGCCGTATCCCTCAAACTGCCACACGCCGGAGCTGTAGATCAGCTGCTCGCGTGCGACCGACGACGATGGCCGTGATCGGAGAAGAACCGAGAATGAAACTGTTATTAGTACTGTGTATGTCACACTCGGATCATGGTCAACCGTTCTTGGCCTAGCATTAATGTTACTGTTACCTCGATCTAGGTCTCTGTGCGGGGGCCGCCGGGGTGGGTGGTGGTGATGGGATGGTCGGTGGCGTAGACCCACATCCGCCGCACGCCGTCGACGAACTCGTAGCGCTCGGGCAGCGGCACGTCGTAGGGCTTCTGAACCTTGAACTGCACCTCGGCGAGCTCCACGGCGGTGAAGCCCTTGGTGAGGAGGTCCTCGCCGTGAGCCGAGCGCAACAGGGCGCACGACGTAGATAGCAGTAGCAGTGCTTGCAACATGAGCAATGTTGGCGAGGCCAAGAACAGCAGTGCAGCGCCCACGCCACGAGCCATGAAAACAGCTGCACTGAACCTTCGCTTCTCTCTCACGCACGCACACAAACACACCATTTGTTTCAGTGGCTCTGACGACGCTCTGGCTATGCTGAATTGTGTATATGTATATATAGATCACGAGATGTCCATCTCTCCTGTCGATCTGTTTTCGACTGCAACTCTGCAAGGGTGGTTGCAAGCGACAAAGTTGCCGCCCCGGCGAACAGTTGTTAAACCGGAGGTTCCTCCGCCGGGCCGTCGGAGTTGGTATGCCGCTGGTCACGGTGGATGATCCCTGAATCCGCGCGACATGTTTTGTCACTGCTTGCGTTCCTGCGGTCCTAGCCACGCTACACGTACAGCCCCAGACGACGAGGGCAAAATGTGACGGTAGGATCGGAGTCCGGCAACGAGGGCCAAATGTGACGGTAGGATCGGTGTCCGTGATGTTGACAACTACAATTGGGCCCATACAGTCTTAATTGGCCCAATGCCAATTTTATCTCAATCTAAGTAAAACTCTATCAATATAAGAATAGTATCACATTGGTTTTCTAATGGTATAAGACCACCCGTACTCCTTATAAATTAAGAGGTACATGCCCGATTGAGGTATCCAACACACAATTGGTTAGAATTAATTTTCCGTTACTTTTCACCTTCATCACAATGACTTCCTATCAGCTCCACTCCACAACGATGGATGTCCAAGGTGACTGACACCGAATTCATCCCGCGAAGAAGTGTGAGGCTCGCGGACAAGCCCCGAGCTTCCAAGCCGGAAGTCCAGGCAAAGAACTTGCTGCTCAAGAAGTGGGGAATCCAGACCCAAGCGACGGCGGCGGCAAGTGGGGCACGCAGTAGCGGTTGCAGTTGTGCGGTGGTGGGCGGGGCCCATAGGCAGTGGTCGGTGGGACGCGAAGGAGAAGGCTGCTGGTGCGCATAGACGGCGGCAAGTGGGGCACACAGCAGCGGTCGCAGGTGTGCGGTGGTGGGTGGGGCCCATAGGCAGCGGTCTAGTGCGCGGGGCGGTGGCCACAAGCGCGCGTCGTGGCGGGCACAGGCATGCCGTGATGGGTGGCGCACCGGCGCGGCGGCGTATGGAAGATGGACGTGATGGGGAGAGGAAAGAGAAGAGTGTGTGTCCAGATAAGGTTGGATCGAGAGAGAAGAAGAAAGGAGAAGAAAAAAAAAGAAAAAATGAAGGGTATTTGTAGTTATTGTATGTTCACCAGGAGAAGCTGTTTTGCCAAATGGTTTATGAAAACAGATTCAATTTCAATAGTGAATGCTTTTCAACCCAAAGCTAATAAAAGTTGATTCACTGGTGAAGCTGAGCTCTTCATATATGTCCTTCATAATCGGTAGGAATAGAGATTTGATGAAAAAATACCCTACAACAGGTTCTTTATTTGTTATACAACTATACTTAGAATTTTCTATTCCGGATTTCTCGCTAGCCAAATATAGAAAATGAGACCTCCAGAGTGCACACAATATATAAAAAACTGTTAGATAGAAAGCGATTTTATGTAAATAGTTTTCCAAACGATGATTTAAAGAGAGAGATTTAGAAAGACTCCTGTAGATGTTCTAGGAGCTCGCTAAGTTTTCCAGATGCATGTGCATCACCATAGTTTGTAGTTATACTTAGTTATAATTTAGTGTTGTTTATGGTTATCAATTAACTTTTTTAAAGAGAAGCAGTTACGTTGTCTTAAAAATACAACTACAACAAAATAAAAGACACAGTTACAACATGAGCTACTATACTCAATTATAACTTTGTGTAGTTTGTAGTTAGAAATTTGAGCCTCAGCCTCGCGGTACATTCCCGTGCGCCCGAGCAACACGAGCTAGCTCGTCGACCTGCGCCTCCTGGCCAACCTCATTGCTATCAGCGAGCAAGGGGAGGACGACGAAGGTACTAGCTATCCAGACAACGATAAAATGCCTCAATGAGGTAACTTTTTTTAGAGATCAATGAGGTAACCTTACCTGAATGGAGATGAGGTGCCTATATTGGAGCTAACCAAACAACCAAACATGATCTGGCTAAACCAAACCAGCTTAGCTAATTAAAATATGTAAACCAAACAACAGTCTCTTGCATTGGGAGAGCCAGACTTGTGTTGCTCTAGTTTAGTTGATTAGCCTGGACAGGTTTAAAACGCAAATCAAACACACCCTAAGGAGATTCCCATCTCCCCAAAATGAAAGGATCTATACGAGCCCTTATGCCCTCATGCCTGAGATTTGTCCAAATCAAAGCAGAACCCCGAGATTTATTCAACCATTCACTATGAGAAGTCCTCCATCCTCATCACAGTTCACACATCAGATCCATGTTTCCATTGATCGTGTGTCACTGTCACACACACGACCAGATCAAAGAACGAGACAGACGACATCTAATTTGTTCATGGCTTGGTGTAGATGGCGACGTTCCTCCAGTGCGACTCCATGCGGTGCGACGGGTTGTGGTGCGACTGCTTGTAGACGCCGAACTTGAAGTAGTGCTCCTTCCCACCTTGGCCGGGGGCGCTCAGTCTCCTCTCACCGTCGACGAACACGGTGACGTTCCCCGCGGCGACGTCATGGATGACATTGAGCCGGATCCACCGGTCGTAAACGCGGTCCGCCACCACCTTGGTCAGCTCGTGGTAGTAGGTGAGCCGGCCGTCGTAGACGTGCAGCATCAGCGTCGTGGCGTGCGTCGCCGCGCCGAATACCTGCATCACCGACGCGCCCGACGTGCCCGACGGCACGTACATGTCGCCCTCGAACTGCCACACTCCCGAGCTGTAGATATTCTGCAGAACTCATGCAGAGTTAGTATAGGAAGAAGACATGGAATGGTCGAGAACAAGTCTTGCCGTTGTCACGAACGTCGACTTTGATCTCGGTGCGCGCGCCGCCGGGGTGCGTCGAGCTGATGGGCTTGTCGGTGTCGAAGACCCACATGCGGCGGACGCCGCCGCACGGGTCATACCGCTCGTTGACCTGCAGATCATAGGGCTTCTGCACCACGAACTGCGACTCGTTCAGCATGACACGGCTGAAGCCGGCGGTCAGTTGGCGAGACGAGCCGGCGTTGGCAGCGTAGGGCAATGACAGCACCGCCGCCACCAGAGGCAGCAGCAGAGTGCACGATCCAGAAGAAGAACCTGCCATGGCTGTGACTATAGCTAGTGATATCGGGGAGGGTGTACGCATCTCGATCGTCCGTCTAGCGCTATTTAACCGCTCGGCTGCCTGGTCGGTCAGTGTGCACTGGCGCTGATTACCGCGAGGCGGATCACGTGTCGTGTGCATGGAGACGGTGGCCGGTGACCGGCGGGCGGTGGCGCGACGCGCGCCAAAGACAGCTAGCGATATCAAGCGATTCTAAATTCCAAGTTGGACGGAGGCCTCAAGAGTCGTCGAACGTCTGGAGTGTCGTCCATTCGGCCAACACAACATATACTCTGGCCGTGACACGACGGCGACCGGTTGATGGCCGTGAGCCCGTGACACATGACGCCGACGATGCTGTCATCTCAGTTGGAGTGGTAGCTGTCTTCACCGCACTGATCTCCCGTGACAAGACGGCGACCGGTTGATGGCCGTCACACGTGACGTCGATCCTTATGACGTTATGGCTGTGTTTAGGTGAATAAAATTTGGAAATTTGGCTACTGTATAACTTTCGTTTTTATTTGGCAATTATTGTTCAATTATAGACTAATTAGGCTCAAAACGTTCGTCTCGCGATTTCCAACCAAACTGTGCAATTAATTTTTTTCGTCTACATTTAATGCTTCATACATGTATCACAAAATTTAATGTAATAACTACTATAGCATTTTTTAAGAATTTGGTTTTGAAACTAAACGTAGCCTATCCCTCTTGGAGAGGATTTGCTGGCCTGGGAGTGGACCAGTGGGCGAGATGTGACGTGATCTGCGTCTCCGTCAGGTTCACGGCCCACGTGCGTGCTCTGCTCCCAAGGCCTTCCGGGGCTCCTGGGCTCTTGTGCGAGTATGACAAAAGCTTCCGTCTTCGGTCTTGCAAGTTTTTTCACTGTCTCTTCGTCACATCAAATCTTTGACATATGTATGGAGTATTAAATGTAGATAAAAAAATAACTAATTACACAGTTTGATTGTAAATTACGAGACGAATCTTTTGAGCCTAGTTAGGCCATGATTGGACAATAATTGGCAAATACAAACGAAAGTGCTACAGTGTCAAATACTGATTCCTAACCCCAATCTAAACGAGGCCTTCTTTTAACATTTTTGAATCACCGCACAATGTTCTATAAGTTTATCTCACCTGTGGAATCGTAAAAACCGTCATAAAAATTTTAAAAATTATGACACAATAGAAATCAGAATGTAGAGGAGATGATGATGTACAAGCTTACAAAATTACAGGGCCAATGTTAACTTCTTTATCAGAATAAAATTGAGAAAGAGCAAAAAGAGGGGGAATTTAACAAAATAGATTTTCCGAACAGCAGAGCCCAAGGGAGGGGCCGCCAGTAGGAGCCACCCCACCCTACTGAAACTATTTAAACCGCCTTGTTGTGTACTCACTCTCTCCTATAATATAGTGCATTCTATGAATTTTAGGACAAATTAAGAGAGAACATAAAAGACACATGTACCCTTATTTTATTTTCTAACTAGACGCTATCGTCAGCATGATTGATGGTGATTGGTTGATAATTGGAATGTATTTTATGCAAAACTGGTTTTTGTCCTCTAAAATGCATTATATTTAAGAACAATTTTTGAATGCTAGAATGCACTATATTACAAGACGGAAGGAGTAGCTTCTAAGCTACATGCCTACATTGACAAGGGTATTGTAATTGTATTCAAAACAGATACAATTATTGATGATTTCTATGATATGGAGATGCAGAGTAAGACTAAAATGAGAATACTTAGTTCCTATGAATACTTTTTCTATTCCAACTTTTATGTAATGAAAATAGGAAATCATGATTTTGTGTTACATCCGGTGAAGTA